TCAGGGGTTAGAGCACTGGTCTTGTAAACCAGGGGTCGAGAGTTCAAATCTCTCTGGGGGCAAAACTTATTTTTTCATTTTTTTTCCAGAAAAAAAAGAAATGACATGTGTAGTACATTGTTTCAGACAATAAACCAAATATCATTTTTTTGTTTTATTATTAAATAAGTTAAACTTCCAGCAATAGGTTCTCTATCTTGTTTGTTACGCTTCCATATTCTGTTTCATTTCATTATATTTGTACTATTATACGATTATATTTCCTATTTCGTTTTTTAACGAATGTATATAGATATAACAATTTATTAGAAACTTTTATAAAATATCGATGCAATTTTTCAATTTTTAAATATTCTTTTTTAATTTTATCATTGTAAATGTCGACTGCTGTGATCATTTGTTAAATTTTATATTTCCATGTATTATTGGAACTTATGTTTATTCAATGTTCGAAATGTTAGCTTTAATATATACATTGTAAATAATAAATTTCTTTAAAATAATTTTGCTATCGAAACGATGACGCAGTCCGTAGCAATAACTATTATAAAATGAAAAATATTATTCGAGAATATCATTCTAAATATTCTATAAAATATTACCATTACCTCCTACGCCCATTACAATTGGGCCAGCATAACTGAGGTTATTCAGATGAAATCCACGTGATTCATTCTTCACTTTTATCGTTAAGTTACCTCTGATCTCTTGAGCCACGGATAGCTGATCTGCGAAGTATCCTATATGATATGCAGATATAAAATTCTTTGATATTTCCGAGAAAAATAGGCACGTTATGATTCAACGATTATTAGAATCGTTGAATCAAATTATTAGAATATATATGTTTGATCATCAGTGTTATAATTCAAATTAATAATTTCAATTCAGATGCTACTTATATTAATAATTTGCAATATTATTAATCCCTATTGAACTAGATTTGATTGGTAATTGATAATGTTAATTTATTTCTATTCATGCTGATCAAATCGCAAATTTGTGAACGGTGTAATTCGTATATCGCTTCGCATAGATATTATAAAATTGTTACAAGCATCGAGGAAAAAAGCAAATCATTAATCAATATCATGCATCTAATATATAATATATCTTTCATATATTTTAAGGAAATACGAAAGAATGATTGTTTACTATTTTTTTAACCCTTTCGTTACTATTAAAAAACCAATTTATATTTTTTTAATTATAAAATTGTATACAGAACACGTGTATACAAGTATATATAATTCTACGTTAGATACTCAGAAAAAAATAAATGCTTTTACATGCATTCTCTCATCGTAACGAAAGAGTTAATAATTACGTATCTCTATGTAGTTTTAAAGCGAAAGGTGTTTGGTATATTAAACACAATTTGTTGAGTTATTTTCACATTATTCTCAAGTAAATCGTAACAGTAATAATATTAATGGAAATTGTTTAGTCCCCGGAGTTCTACTCACCTATGGTCGCCATGCAAGCTCCTAAAAGCATTAGTAGCAGACCAATTCCGAGAGCTTTGCAGGCGTACCACAAGCATCGTGTTGTCACCTTGCCTCTCACCACCTATTCGATTTAATTGCTTTCGTTAACAGTTAATAACCTGGACGATGTCTCGCTGGTCATGAATCATCGTTTGGTTTTTAGTTAGCTTATACACTTGACACTTTATACAGTCGATGTCACATATTCGAACGTTCAATTTATCTTCATAGAATAATTATTAAATTTGATTGATAATACATCAAAAATTTGTACAATCACTTTTGTGTTTATTCAAGTGAAAATAAGTGATATTTAATATAATTCTATTTCTGTGCAATTATTTTTCTTTTTTTTTTTTTCAAATTAGTGTTGTAAAGTATATATTTTCGGTGTTAAATATTTCTTGCCATAAGAAATCTACGTGATCTAATTTTAAACAAATATCTACGAATAATTAAGAAAGATAATAAATTGATTCTGTGCTACAGCTTAGAAAGATTGGAGAAAATTGTAGAAAAATATCAAGTAGCATAAATTAAGAAATTTTGATATAAAGTTAATAAAATTTTGAAGCATGCTCCTTTCTAATTATCGGATATGTAAAAGTGGATTAAAATTATTCGAGTTTTACGTAAAATATATAACTTGAGCGTAATTAAGAAACGTAATTAGATTTTTATTTGCACGAAATTATTTCCTCGTTAACGTGTTGTTCCTCGTATTGCAAATATAGATGTAACAGTCGCGTTTGTATGCACAGCCGAGCTTCTGTTTGCATATACACTTGAACAATATCGCATGCTCGCGAATAATATCTCTCTGCGGATACTGTCGAGAGAACTCGTGTTTCACTTTCACAGATTACACGCGAAAATTATTCGGATAACAATTTTTTTAGCGAAAGGCGTATTCTATTTCTCTCTTAGAAAAATCAAAATCGATTATTCATTGATGTTTTCAAAATGACGAATGCAAACAACAAGTGGATATTCGCGAAAATTTTATACAAATAATTGAAAATAGAATAATTCAAAATTTGAGAAGAATTGAATTGGAATGATTTGGAAATAATATCGCAAGAAATATATTATTTATGATTTCTTTTTTAAAATTAAAAAAAGAAAAAAAAGAATCTTCCTGTGTCTTGTATTAATTATTTTATTCAGTATATTTTCTTTCTTAGAAAATATATTGACACGGTTCAATTTTAGATCAATTTATGCAGATGTAGTCGTGTCTATCACTATACATGCTCTATTTATATATATCTATAACATAACATAATCGATCAAAGGAAAATGAATGAATTTTATCTCTATTAAAAAAAAAAAAAAAAAGAAAGAATTACTTATGCAAATTTATAATTGAATATATATATAGCATGTACTTTGTTCTATTTAATGTATGACCAAAATTATTTTCATTTACTTTATTAAATACAAAATTATTATAATAAATAATAACAGTAATTAAATTTATAAAAAAAGTGTTTCGTTAAATGCGTTTACAATTTAAATGGAAATTTTTTAAAATTACAAATTCAATATGAAACACAGACAAAGATAGATTCGTGTATTTAATAAAATAAACGAAAAATGATTTCGAGTAGATTCTTAGCGAGATACGTGTATTAATTTTAAAAGTACTTTGTACTTGGAAGTTTGAAACCAACCTGAACATTCCAGTGAGCTCCTGGACCGCAGGCTCTTCTCTGCGTCCCTTGCCAATGGATGCTTCCTTGGGGCATTTTGCACTCCTAAAGTTGGAATAAATCCTGCATTATTAACAACGAGTTAGCGTCGTAGTAAATTTAATAAAAGATAATGTTCCGGGACGCGGTTAAAGTGAAAAGTTAATTGGCCGGAAGTTGAATCTAGTCGAAACTGGATCAAAGATAACAATGGAATTAATCCCGCCAAGAATGGAAACGAAACGATTTATAACAAATTTCTTTTCGCTTTCTATATATATTTCTCAAATTCAGATTATTTTAATTTTTCATTATCGTATCATCATAAATTCTAACGAACGTTTCCGAACGAATTTCCATCAATTCTTAATTTTTCAATATTATTATAAAAACATTGCAAATTCTTAAATTAAAAAAAAAAAAAAGAATCTTCCGTGTCTTGTATTAATTATTTTATTCAATATATCTTCTTTCTTAGAAAATATATTGACATAGTTCAATTTTAGATCAATTTTAGATCAAAACTCTAATTCAATGACTAAAACTTATATTAAAAAAATACGCTTCTTCATTCCTCGCTATTCCAATTCAATGATTCAAGAGGCCATTGAAAACATAACATAACATTTTTCTGATTCGAACCACGGTTTCATTGAATGCATCAATTCCATGCACCATTTACTAGCAAACATTTCTCGTAAACAAGTTACGTCTATGAGTTTCTCGAAAATGGAGTACCAGCTCGCCCGGTACCTCGTTTCATTTAACAGAAGGCGAAACTTCTTGCTCGACGTCGCTTTAATACAACTTCGTGATACGTATACGAGCGCACGCCTCGTCGTTTACCATCCTCTCGTGCCCATTCACTTTTACATAAGGATAGATATACATAAGCAGAGCGTGTATAACGCGTTTGTGCAAAATTATCTGTCAATTTTCGTACATACGCGCGCCATGTGCACAACACATTATGTACAGTAGTAACAGGAGAGCATTGTTCGTTCACGTTTCATATCTCTTGCTGCGCCTTCCACCAAGTGGAAAGTTCTCACTTTGTATCGATCCAAATCCTTCTTTACGCTTCTTTTCGCAATCTATGTTTACGACTGAAAACTTGTCTATTTTCTTATCACGGGCTTAGCCGGGATTCGAGATCTATTCGAGCTCGATTGCGGT